TGTGGCCCTGAGTAACAATTCTCTGGCACTCAGTAACAATTCTGTCTGTCCCTGAGTAACAATTCTCTGGCACTCAGTAAACAAATTCTGTCTGTCCCTGAGTAAAAATTCTGTGGCCTCAGTAACAATTTCTGTGGCCCTGAGTAAAATTCTCTGGCACTCAGTAACAATTTCTGTCTGCCCTGAGTAACAATTCTCTGGCACTCAGTAACAATTCTGTCTGTCCCTGAGTAACAATTCTCTGGCACTCAGTAACAATTCTGTCTGTCCCTGAGTAAAAATTCTGTGGCCCTAAGTAAAGTTTCTGTGTGGCCCTAAGTAACAATTCTCTGGCACTCAGTAACAATTCTGTCTGTCCCTGAGTAACAATTCTCTGGCACTCAGTAACAATTCTGTCTGTCCCTGAGTAACAATTCTCTGGCACTCAGTAACAATTCTGTCTGTCCCTGAGTAAAATTCTGTGGCCCTAAGTAAAGTTTCTGTGGCCCTGAGTAACAATTCTCTGGCACTCCGTAACAATTCTGTCTGTCCCTGAGTAACAATTCTCTGGCACTCAGTAACAATTCTGTCTGTCCCTGAGTAAAAATTCTGTGGCCCTAATTAAAGTTTCTGTGGCCCTAAGTAAAAATTCTCTGGCACTCAGTAACAATTCTGTCTGTCCCTGAGTAACAATTCTCTGGCACTCGTAACAATTCTGTCTGTCCCTGAGTTGAACAATTCTCTGGCACTCAGTAACAATTCTGTCTGTCCTGAGTAAAAATTCTGTGGCCCTAAGTAAAATTCTTTCTGTGGCCCTAAGTAACAATTCTGTGGCACTCAGTAACAATTCTGTCTGTCCCTGAGAGTAACAATTCTCTGGCACTCAGTAACAATTCTGTCTGTCCCTGAGTAACAATTCTCTGGCACTCAGTAAACAATTCTGTCTGTCCCTGAGTAAAAATTCTGTGGCCCTAAGTAAAGTTTCTGTGTGGCCCTGTAAGTAACAATTCTCTGGCACTCAAGTAACAATTCTGTGTCTGTCCCTGAGTAACAATTCTCTGGCACTCAGTAACAATTCTGTCTGTCCCTGAGTAAAAAAATTCTGTGGCCCTAAGTAAAGTTTTCTGTGGCCCTGAGTAACAATTCTCTGGCACTCAGTAACAATTCTGTCTGTCCCTGAGTAACAATTCTCTGGCACTCAGTAACAATTCTGTCTGTCCCTGAGTAAAATTCTGTGGCCCTAAGTAACAATTTCTGTGGCCCTGAGTAACAATTCTCTGGCACTCAGTAAACAATTCTGTCTGTCCCTGAGTAACAATTCTCTGGCACTCTAAGTAACAATTCTGTCTGTCCCTGAGTAACACAATTCTTGGCACTCAGTAACAATTCTGTCTGTCCCTGAGTAAAAATTCTGTGTGCACTAAGTAAAGTTTCTGTGGCCCTGAGTAACAATTTCTCTGGCACTCCGTCAGTAACAATTCTGTTGTCCTGAGTAACAATTCTGTGGCCCTAAGTAGCGTTTCTTTGTCCCTGAGTAACAATTCTGTGGCACTGAGTAACAATTCTGTGTCTGTGCGAGTAAAAATTCTGTGGCCCTAAGTAACAGTTCTGTGGCCTCAGTAAAGTTTCTGTGTCTGTGGAGTAAACAATTCTGTGTCTGTGCGAGTGAGTAACAATTCTCTGGCACTAAGTAACAGTTCTGTGGCCTTCAGTAGTAACAATTCTGTGGCTGTGCAGTAACAAATTCTGTGTCTGTGCGAGTAAAAAATTCTGTGGCCCTAAGTAAAGTTTCTGTGGCCTAAGTAACAATTCTCTGGCACTCAGTAACAATTCTGTCTGTCCCTGAGTAACAATTCTCTGGCACTCAGTAACAATTCTGTCTGTCCTGAGTAAAATTCTGTGGCCCTAAGTAAAGTTTCTGTGGCCCTGAGTAACAATTTCTGGCACTCAGTAACAATTCTGTTGTCCCTGAGTAACAATTCTCTGGCACTCAGTAACAATTCTGTCTGTCCCTGAGTAAAAATTCTGTGGCCCTAAGTAAAGTTTCTGTGGCCCTAAGTAACAATTCTGGCACTCCGTAGTAACAATTTCTGTCTGTCCCTGAGTAACAATTCTCTGGCACTCAGTAACAATTCTGTCTGTCCCTGAGTAAAAATTCTGTGGCCCTAATTAAAGTTTCTGTGGCCCTAAGTAACAATTCTCTGGCACTCAGTAACAATTCTGTCTGTCCCTGAGTAACAATTTGTGTCTGGCACTCCGTAACAATTTTGTACAAGTAACAATTCTCTGGCACTCAGTAACATTTGTGTCTGTCCCTGAGTAAAAATTCTGTGGCCTAAGTAAAGTTTCTGTGGCCTGAGTTTCTGTCTGTCCCTGAGTAAAATTCTGTGGCCTCATGTACCGGTTTCTTTGTCCCTAAGTAACAATTCTGTGGCCCTGAGTAACTTCTGTGTGCACTCTGTGCGAGTAACAATTCTGTGGCTGTTGCCATGAACGTAACATTCTGTGGCCCTAAGTAAAATTTCTGTGGCCCTAATGAGTACAATTCTTCTGGGCACTCCGTAACAATTCTTCTGTCCTGAGTAAAAATTCTCTGGCTGATCAGTAACAATTCTGTGTCTGTGAGTACCAATGAGTAAAAATTCTGTGGCCTAAGTAAAGTTCTGTGGCCCTCAGTAACAATTCTCTGGCATCAGTAACAATCACTGTCTGTCTGTACACAATTCTGTGGTAACAATTTCTCTGTCGGTAACACCATTCTGTTGTCTGAGTAACAATTCTGTGGCCCTAAGTAGCGTTTCTGTGGCAAGTAACAATTCTGTGTCCCTGAGTAACAATTCTGTGTCTGTGCGAGTAACAATTCTGTGGCCTAGTAAGCAGTTTGTGGCTCAGTAAACAGTTCTGTGTTGTGTGCGAGTAAAAATTCTGTTGAGTCCTGTGCGAGTAACAATTCTCTGTGGCTAAGTAACAATTCTGTGGCCTCTGTCTCCTGAGTAACAATTCTCTGGCACTGTGCGAGTAACAATTCTGTGTCTGTCCTCGAGTAACAATTCTGTGGCCCTAAGTAAAGTTTCTGTGGCCTAGTAAAACAGTTCTCTTGGCCTCAGTAACAATTCTGTCTGTCCTGCAGTAACAATTCTCTGGACTCCGTAACCTAGTAACAATTCTGTGGCCAAAGTAGTCCTGAGTAAAAAGTTCTGTGCTGTGAGTATACATTCTCTAAGTAATTCTGTTTTTGAGTTTCTGTGGATAAGTAACAATTCTGTGGCCCTCTAATGTAACAATTCTGTCTGGCATCGTCAAATTTATTGAGTAACAATTCTTCTGGCAGCTCGAGTAACAATTCTGTCTGTCACCTGAGTAAAAATTCTGATGGCCTTAATTAAAGTTTCTGTGCTGGCCCTAAGTAACAATTTCGTCTGGCACTCAGTATACATTTCTGTTCTGTCGCTGAGTAACAATTCTCTTCTGTCCCTGATAGTCAAACATTCTGTGGCCCTAAGAACGTTTCTGTTGGCCCTAAAGTAACCATTCTCTGAGCACTTGCTGAGTAACAATTCTGTCTTGTCCCTGATATAAGAAATCTTGTGGCCCTAACTTGCGTTTCTTAGCTGTCCACTAAATGCAACGATTCTGTGTGCCCCTATTAAATCAAGTACTGTGCTCCTGGAGTAAATGGGTATTCTATGTCCCTGAGTAAATCACTTTGCTCTGTTCCTCCAATTATCGTTTTCTGTGGCCCTTAACTCTGTCCCTTTTGTTCCTCTTATCGGTACAGATCCGGATAGCCTCTGTCAATTATAACTGAGGCAAATGAAAGATTTCCAAAATGGCCTGCGTAATTTTATAGCGTTTCGGCCACATTACACACTGTCGATCTGCTAGGCTGGCTGTGATCGCGCTGAGCGCCGATCACATGTAGTTGGAGGAATGCATTATGGGTCCAGGCGCCTTGTCTGCGCCCCCCCCAGACACCCGTCCGTGCCCGCAATGTCAGCCCCCATTTTCTGAAAAATTCGTTCGCGCCCCCGAATTGGCTTTTTTTCGGATTCCCGCG